TTTTTCACTAATGTTTTTCATATCACTAGGGTGAAACTCCATCATATCGACTGTTTATATTATATTTCGTTGGAGTTTCACACTAGTGATATGAAAAATACTGGTGGAGAACATATTTCACGACTACTGCACTTCACCGCGACCACCGTGTTTTTACCGTGTGAGTTTTACGACGCCACTTCACGTAAAACGGGGCGAAACTCCATCAATACATTATTGTTGTTATATGTGATACACTACTCAATACATCTCTCACCCAGACATAACAAATAGCGCAATTTACGGTATCAAAAATATGACAGAAAATATATTGTAAATTACTTGTTGGTCTCTGCCCTTTCCCTCCCTCTCAGCATTCACAATTTCCTCCTGCAATCTGAGCCTTTTCAGATCCGGGTAGTAGTCCCTTTCGATGATGTATGATGCAGCTGCCACGTAGTCGTCCTCCACCCTAAACAATATGCAGTTTGGCCTCCCCTCCCGGTGGCTTTGTATGGACATCTAAGCCGCGTTGAACGAATACGAGGTTGAAATAATACCAGATTTTCCATCCTACTTTTATGGTCACAAATCTTCAACACTCAAATATTGGTACATTAGTAGTGCATTTTCTGCATTTCGCTGCGCGATTGTTCATGTGTTTGTCAACATTTTGTTATGGGCGCGTATAGCTCTGTTTTCACCGAGATAAAAAACTACATCTTCTATCGTATATACAAACCCGAGAACTTCTCGGCGAGAAGAGGTGCAATATGTATTCTATCGCGCACTAGGCGGCCAGAGCATCAACCAGTTCTCGCGGTATGAGAATGTTCTAGGTTTCACTGGTGATTCATATAATCTTTACCATATCATACGTGTATAGTTCTGTTTCCAGGTAAACATGAATCAATCACTACAGTGCTTTAGCGGGTATCCTCCCCAGTTGGAATGCCTTTTGGGGCTTCCTCAGAAACGCTATCTCCTTGGCACTGTAACCAGCCAGCTTAGCGCCTTGTGCAGTCACCAGCGACGAGTTGTTGGAGTCTGGCTCGGCGAATTCGCGAGGCATGGCAACCTAGAAAAGAGGAGATGCCAAAGAGCTCGAGACCGTAGTGTTACGAGTTGAGTCGAAGACTGCCCAATTCTTCGACCGACCGTATCTTGATCAGGAAGTGAGGAAGGAGCGGTATTAGACATGTTAAATTTCGTAGCCACTGAGAGAGCTCCAGTATGTACCAAATTTTGAGATCCCAAATGTCGGTATAGCCAATCATCACCATTTGCACCACGTCATCGACTCCGCTCGGGCTTGCTCAGTGTTGGAATATATGTCCGCTGATCTCAGGGGCT